CCTGTTAACTTTATCTTTTTAAATAAAATATTCCTTTTGGAACAAGTTTTTTCTCCATTACTGACAGATTTTTTTAAAAAACCCCTTCTCTATGAACCTTCTTTTCCTTTCCCCATCCCTTTTTCCTCTTGAAAAAGTCAATTGCCTCTTTCTCTTTTTCTACCTAGTCCTATTATCATAATGGGATGGAAAATCATATTAGAGCTCAGCTATAATCTCTGCTGCCAAAGACTATGGAACACAGGTGGTGATTCAGATTAAACGGATAGATTAGGAAAGATTAAGCAGCCTCTCCAGAACTTTTATGGAGGTTCTTTGTTTTCCACTTAAACCAACTGCTGTTTAGACCAACTTCTCTAATGAACCACTGGGAAAATGCAAGCAAGTCTTAAAGTGAGAAAAACCAGGAACGAGTCCGTAGCCCTCATTTTGGCTTCAAGGAGCACAAACGTATGATTGCATTTAACACGACAAGATATATTATTGTAGAATCACTAATGGGCACATATACCCCCCCCCCTGAAGATGTTACCTAATTTGGTAATGAAATGTTTGTCAAGAAGAAACTCAGAGGACAAACATCTGTCTAAAGGGCACACATAAAGTCCGACTCAGAGCCTGTTGGAAGAACCAGGTCTTAATTTCTTTCCTGAAGACATGCAAGGCCAGGGAAGGAGACTTCTGCTTTCCGAAGCCTTCACAATGGGCCACCATTAGCTTAGCTAATCAGGAATTCCAACTTACTTTTCGATTTCCAAGAAGTCATCATTAATTCCTGGTTTTTTCCCCTCTAGTTTTTCCCAAAGAGGGGGAAAAAAAGCCCAATCTACCAATCAAATTGATCTACTCATTGTCCATTAGCACTATCCGAATTAATTGTTGTGCAATCCAGTCTGGTCCCAAATATATGAGTGATTCACACATCATCTACAGGTTTAGAAAGCAGAGTGAGCAGCTCTGTATGGGACAGTCCCCAAGATTGTTTTTTTTTTCTAATTTGCCATTATTATCCCTAGGCTGCTAATCTGAAAAAAAAATAAACGAGATCAAGAATAGCTTCAGGCATAGCAGGTGCACTGATGAGAATCACTTAATGAGGATACTTACTGCAGATCAAGGCAACGGCCATGCGCAGCAGCTTGAACTGACACTTCATTCCAGACCAGTTCTGATAAAGAAATAAAAGAATATCCAAGTGAGGTTTTCCATCTGCTGAGTATCTGGAAACAGACGCATTGCACATGCTTGGCTTTTGGACTGCAGATCCATCCATTCATCTTTTTGCACTGCACACTCACTGCGGCTTTGGTAAGGAGCCCCTGAGAAATAAATTA